GGAGTGCAGTGGCTGTTGTAGGAGTGCAGTGGCTGTTGTAGGAGTGCTGTGGGTGTTGTAGGAGTGACTAATGGCACGTGTGCCCTCGGCTCAGCCCATTCCCAGTGCAAAGGGATGTGCTGGGCACCACAAACAAGGGATTTTGGCAGGGCTGCATCTGTGTTTCTGTAGCTTTCTCCGAGCAATTACCTCTTCTATACAAAGAAAGAGAATCTGGAAATCCAGACCTGGTCCTCTGCCGAGTTTCCACAGCCATGATGTCCCACTGGGCCACTGCAGCACCGTGGCTCCCAAGGGTGCTCTGCACTGGGGGAGGATCGTCCCCTCCTTGTACCTTGGCCAGTGTTTTCCCACTGGTTTCTGCTGTTCTCATTATTGTTGGTTAATGTCAAGACTGTCCTCTGCCTCGTAACTCAGGCTGAAGCCAGTGGACTGCAGTTACCAAGGCAACAAAACATTTTATGTAGCTGTCATACTTCATATAATTAAAAACTAAACAGACCCGAAGAAGGGGGCAGCAGTTTGTGAAGGAAATGGATGAAGGGATACAGGGATTTTGCTCCTGGACAGGTGAGCAGGGAAGGTGATTGCATGGTAGAAGCTGGTACCACCCAAAAAATACTGGGCAGGTGTGTTCCCAGGACCCTGTCACTGCCCCACACAGGGCTGGGGGTCCTGCAGCTCTGTGGGCAGCACAGAATTTGGGGGTCATGTCCTGGGCAGTCTGGTGGGCAGGGCTGAGCCATTCACAGGAATTTCAGGGGCTTCCCCCAATGCTTCTGACTACATTTGTTTGACCAGAACAGGGAAAATAGGGCTTGTGAGGGAAGCTGGAAGTATCTGGGCTTGTGTTTTGGTGTTGAATAAAAGATGCAGGAGGAGGGAGCTAATACTGAGCCAGTCCTTATCCCTCTGGCCAGTGAATATGCAAAGCAGATACATCTGCCAGCTCCCATCTTTTCTCCAGGGTGCAGGTACTTGAGCTGTGTATTTGAAAATTAAGGTAAAATGCTGCCTTGAACGTGTGGGAACGTGCTCTGCCTGGGCTCTGACGGGAGATGCACGGAGCAGGTTTTGGGATGTGGATGGACTCTGGAACATCTGCAGCGGGGAGGAGCACTAAAACCTTTAATTAGGGATTTATGAACTGCGTAGAGATGATTGAGTCATTGTTTGACTTGCTTTCCAGAAATAGATGTGGGTTTTTTTAATCTCCTCCCTCCCTCCCTCCCTCCCTCCTCCCCCCCAGAGGAGCAGTGGAGCAGCAGTGCTGGGCAGGGTGCCAGGCTGAGCCCTGGTGGGCACCAGCAGCTCCGTCCTGGGGGGACCAGCAGCAGCCAAAATGCCAGCTGTGAAGGTGTCCTCCAAAGGGTTGGGAGGGAAGCACGTGCCAGCCTGGCTCCTCACTGCTTGCTGTGGGCTGGCAGAAACAAAACCTCCCTCTTTTCTGCTTTGTGTAAACTGGGAAGATGAGAAATCGCTGCTCAAAGTGATTTACAGCGAACAACAGGGATTAAAGGTCCCAGGTAGTTGTGAAAGGAGCCAGAGGATCCTCCAATTCCACGGGTCAAAGCAATGCTTGTGTGGAATGTTTACCCTGGAGCTTTGCAAAAAGCTTTTCCCTCCTGGCAGGGCCTGGGGACAGGCTGGGGACGGGCTGGGACATTGCTGTGGCCAGGACAAAATAGCTGCGTTTGGGGAAGATGCTCCAGAGGGCCTGGATCTGGGTCTGAGGCAGCTCCTCAGGGTGGGTGGGTCGAAGGACCAGAGGTGGTGCTGGCAGACCACAGAGCCCAGATCCACATTTGGGGTCAGTGCCATCCCCAGGCTGGCTGTGGATCCATCACACGTTGCAATAACGTGCCAGGGAGTGAGAGCTGGGAGCTGAGCTGTGAGCTGAGCTGGGAACTGAGCTGGGAGCTGAGAGCTGGGAGCTGTCCTCCACCACTCGGGCTGTCAGTGATGGGAGGCTGAGATCCAGCCCTAGTAATTAAGAGTCTGACTGTGTGGGGATAATGATTACCACTTCCATAAAGAAGAATTTTCTCTTCTCGCCTTCATTTTGTCTCTTTGATCAGCCAGGCCTCTCTGCCACATCTAGAGCTCACAAATGTATTCCGGGGTTTTATAACCACTCATTTACACTTTCCTGGATGCTAATACACGTCTGGGTTTCCCTTTCCAGCTCTAGGTTCCTGATTAATTTTAGGGCTTTTGCAGAGAGGGGACCCGATCCTGCAGCCATCGTTGGGGTAAAACCAATGTAGTGGTCAAGATGAATCCTAAAGAGTTGGGAATGGTCATGCCCAGTCGGGGAGGTGGCTCTGCAGCCCTTCCTCCACAGCCCTTCGTTGACTTTGGGCTGCACCCTGTGGAAGCCCAGATGGTTGATGTCCTGCTGAGGAGCAGGGACAGCAGGCTTGGGCCTGGGTGGGCTCTTTCCTTTTCTTTCCTTTTTTTTTTTTTTCTTCCCTGGTTGAGAACACAGATGTCTGATTGGAGCAGGGCATTTATCACCACAAGCTGCTCGGCTATTCAGGAATCAGAGCTAATCAAAATATTGTAAATATCGTGCCTGGAGAAATGTCAGCCTTCCCCATGGCTGCGTCTCCCTCGCTTCTCCCGTCTGTTTAGGAAGGTGTGAACAAATATTGACAGCCTGTTGTGGCTGCAGCTCCTCCTGGGCTCTGTGTGTCTGGCACAGCCGACGCCTGGGCAGCTCCATTTGGGGCACATTTGATGCCAAGCAGGGTTTCTGTTCCCTCTGGGTGTTTCCAGCCCTGTCTCCGGTGCCAGAAGGTCGGGCTCCTCCTGGGCACCCTCACCCAGAAGGAATGGGTTCTTTGATAAAGGATTTCCAATACATTTCTGGAAATTAGAGTAAATCCCCGAGTCCTACCATGCACTACACACCCAAGCCAAATGAGTTTGCTCTTACCTTGGTGGCTGCAGCTTTTGTTGGTAAGAGTAACATTTCCATGTGCTTGCTGTGATATGTGGTGTCTGATGCCTAAAGAAGCCTTTAAGATCAATAGCAGCTCCAGAAGATGAATAGTTATAAGAGGTAGATAGAATTGAAAGGCATTTTAATTTGTCATTGTTTCAGTTCCAGAGAGCAGCTGAATAATTGCACTGCCTGTGAAGAGAGTGTGTAATACTTTCTCTCATTATAGGTCTAAATTGCCTCCCTTCCCTTTTAATGTAAGTGAAAATAAGATATCTCTGGTATCTTCTGTTTTGATCATAATTTGAAAGCCCCAGAATGGCCTGTGCAACTTTATGTCATGGTGTCAGGTGTACAGATTAATTTTTTTAATGCAAAGCCCAAACACTGGGCTGAGTGCTCAAAGCACAAACCTGAGCTTACCAACACCAATTCCAGTGAGGAATTCCTCATCAGCTGGGCCATGGAGGGGGCAAGTTGGGCAGGGTTTGTGAGGCTCTTAAATTCAAGTTCAGAATCTAGAGAAAGGATACTTTTTTTTTAATTGCTATGGGGATTTTCTTTCACAAAATGCAAAAAAAATGTCCTTAAAATTGCAAATACGCTTTAGATGGAAAGAGTTTATTTATATATATATATATATATATATATATATATATATATATATATATTAGATCTGAAGTCTCCCCTTGGATCACATAAAGCATTTCTTTGGTTGTTCTGTGGAGAACTGTGGGTTTGCCCCCCAGAGCTGGGTCCCCTCAGCTCTGCCCAGGCACAGGGGGACAGTGCACGGGCAGATCTGTGGAGTGGGACAGGGACCAGCAGGATGGAGTGGGACAGGGACCAGCAGGATGGAGTGTGACTTTGGCCTTGGTTCTCTCTTGCAGCCTGAAGAACCAGTAGTAGCTGGTCAGTGGGGACGAGGACAAGCACCGATGCTGCTTCTGCAGAGAGGAGCAGGTCAGCAGGAGGGGAGGCTTCCTTGGACAATGATCCCATGTGGATTCAATAATTAACATGTAACTAACCTTCGCTTTGGACAAATACATGGATTTTTTTTTTAATTTTGTGGTGAGTTAAAATATTTCGATGGATTTTTTTACCCTTTCAGGACAATATTTATTCAGCACAGAGTCTAGAGTATGATAACTATCCTGTAAATACAGCACTTACTCATCAAGTCATCTTCAGGGACAGTGGAAACAAACTATTTTACTTTTTCATATTTATTCTTAGATTTCTCCCAAGAGCATAAGATTATTCTATTACATTATCCATGATAGTGATGTAATCAGTCTTCAATCAGAAATAAACACACTTTCTTCACCTTCTCCAGCATGGTTTGTGTCAACATAAAGAGCAACAGCAGTGAATCACGGGGACTGTGTAACGGATGAGCTTTTTCCTTCCCTCTTTGTCTCTGGAGAAACAAATGGTTCCATGAGCAAAGAACACTAAAATGAAAGGGTAAATTCCTTTTTTCCCCGCTGCTGGGATTCCTGCAGGCTCGACAGAAGCTGTTTGCTTGGTGGACTTTGATGCAAGCCCGAGGCTGGACGCTGCTGTGCCCACCAGCCAGCAGCAGCTCGTCCCCTCTGCCTGCTCTGGGGGTCTGAGCAGAGAGAAGGAGCCGAGGATTGACCTTCGCTGCTCCTCATCCTGGAGCTCTGCTGGGCCGGAGCCTCGGCCCCCTGGGCTGTGCCTGAGCCCCTGGTCCCGCCAAGGGATGGGTCAGGGGTGCTACAGCATCACCTCCTTCGCTCAGAGGGGACAGAGGGAGCCAGTGCAGAGGCTCTGTGTGATTAATTTGTGCTCTCGCATCGATGCCTTTCGTGTGCGGAGGAGAATGGGTTGTTCACAGATGAGTAAACATCTCCTTGGGTTTCGTAGCTGTGGGGTGGTTTCATTTATTGTGTTTTGGGTAATAACACAAGCTGCCAGTGTTCCCGAAGCTAAACTGCCTCTTTACAGAGAGAATGATTTACAGAAATAGGGCACATCAGTCATGCGGGTGCAGGGCTGACTCTTCTGAGCCTCCTTCCCCCAGAGGAGTCCTCCCCCAGGCGGCACCCAGGGTGCTGCAGAGGCGTTTTTGTCAGGAGAGAAAAACAAAAATCCTCTAACTGTGTGCTCTAGTAATCACTACAAGCTAATTGCAGCAAATTAATTACAGCACAAGCACAATTTCTTTCCCCGGGCAGGTGTGGAGACAGCTCTGCAGTGAGCTGGGTCAGACCTGGCCTCTGCTCCCAGCCTGTGCAAGGCTGGCTGTCCTCCTGCCCTGGCTCTGAGCTGGCCCAGAGCTGGTGGCTTGCTTGGTCTAAGAGGATGAGTAAAGTCAGAGGTCCTGTCTCTAATTTAGGAAGATCCAGACTTTCTGCCCCTCCAGCACCTCTCGGGTGGGTGGTTTGTCCTGTGGCCCTTCAGAGCAGGAGGGTCAGCGCTGCCAGTGGGATTCCCACGTCCCACATCCCACCTCCCACACGGCCCAGGTGAGTGAGGAGCAGGTGAGTGAGGGTGAGGTGCCCCATCACATCCCCCCAGCTCTCCTGGGGTGACAGAGCAGTGCAACTTTTGGGTTTGTTGCAAATATTGTCCTGGTCCAGTCAATCAGGCTTTGGCTCCTAAATCCTTCTAATCTCTTGCTTTTCCTAAGTTCATTAGGCCTTCAAAGCAAGACATAAAAAGACAAATCTCCTCGTGGTAAGTCAGTGATCCCTGCAGAAATGCTGCCAGATCTCTGATGTCGAGCCTGGTCCAACCACCCCAGGCTGAAACACTGTGAGTGGATGTATCAGAGAACTTTGAAAACGGTTCAGTGCAACCATTGTGTCCCCCAGGGTTACTTTAAACTGAAGGGTGAAAACACTTGCATGTATTTTCTTAATTAAAAAGAAACCAAGCACGGACTCTGCATTTTTCATGCATTCCATCTATCTATACATTACAGAATTTAGTTTTGTTCTGGCCAAATGTTTTCCCAGCTTAAAATTCTGTGCAAGATGTTCTGTAAAGGAAGTAAATCTCAATAACTTGTCATCAGTCTGGCTGGGTGTTGCCCCACACAAACTTTGCAGAGCAGTGCTAACTGGAATAGTGCTGTCACTGGGAGACAGCTGGAAATGGGGTTATTAACACTGCAACTGTAATCTTTTGGATGTGTTTTATTAGAGTTACTAAGGCAGCTCTCTAGGCTCTGGTGGAGATGGGCCACGTTACGTTTTGGGAGCAAGACACTGTGGTGTTTTATGCTCAGACACAGCACAACACAAGTGTGTGGTTTTATCTGGCTCCGTGTGGAGGCAACAGAGCTCTATGGCAACGGGGTGTAACGTGAGGCTGCCCCGAGACAGCCTCACACAGAGATTAATCACAGGGGGAGAGTGCTCCTGGTACCTAAGTGCTGCTTCCTTTGTTAAGTTCCTATTGCATCAACTTAATTAGCAAGTCCTGACCTTTAAAACCACCTTCCATAATCTCCAAATTAAGTATTATGGGGAAGTCTGATTCCTCCTCGGGGCTGTGCTGGCAGCTCCCTGCTCCTGTCTGAGGCCACTGACCCGACCAGCTGCCAGCCCTGTCCCACCAGGAGGGGCTGTGCAGAACCCCCAGGGCTGGGGCACCTCTGGAGACAGGTGGGACCCAGTTTGGGGGCTGAACTTTTGGGATCTCAGGAGAGAGAGCAGATATCCATCAGCACTGCAATGTGTTCCCAACGAAGTTACTGCACTGGGCTCAAGTGTAGGACTTTATGATGGATTTTGTAGAGGGCCACTGCTCCCTAATCAAGCCCCGTCACCCGCTCTGGGTCTCTGACAAAAGCCTTTGTCTAACATGGTTTTAATCAGTGTGTGCATTTCAATTTGCATATTAATAGCAAGGAACTCTTATTACAGCTGCTGTTGATGAGATGGTGTCAAGCCCATCTTCCCATCTGAGGAAAGAAAGAAACTGCATCTATTGTATGAAGAATGACATTGGCAGAAAACATGTCCATTCTTTGCCTCTATCTTTCTTTCTCTCCGCCTTTATTTTGCTCCTGATGGCTCATATGGATGCATTCATTAGTCTTTTCTTTTCCCCTTATAACAAGGATCATTTACCAGGAGACTAAGACAGGATTTCACGCCTGTTGTGACAGCTCCAGGCTAAATACCACGGGTTTGTTCCACGGGTTTGTTCGGCGTCTTTAACTTGGAAAATGGCAAAAGGTGCCCCCGGTCTGGGAGCTGTTTGTTGTAGGAACCCAGAGCAGTTAATGTGCCATCATGAACCACGGCACTGCCTGCTCTCCAGGGTCCAGCCTTTCCCAGCTCCAGAGGTGTTGGCGTTGCCGTCCATCCCGGTGCCGTGGTCCAGGTGGCAGCAGGGGCAGCTGGAACGTGGCTGCTGTGGCACATTCAGGAGCAGTGGGGGGAGAGAGGGCTCGTGGAGTGGCTCAGAGCGAGCCCTGAGCGAAGGGAAGCTTCACTCAGCAGAAATGGGAAATGCAGAGGAAAATTCCGTGGAAAAGCCAGCCCGTGGAAGGAGCTGGAGGAAGAGTGAGCCCTGCAGTGAGGGGGGGGTGCTGCTCATGCACATTTAATGAGAGCAGTGCTGGTCTTAGCAGACAAACGACCTCAATTCACCCACTGCTCGGTGCTATCGATTCAATGGCTTCTCCTAATGAGGAAATTATTATCTGTGTTAGGGAATGTGGAACCCAGCAGGTGCACAGCATTAAGTAATGAAAAAACCAGCTTTGCTGGTGCCAGAAACACGATGGTGCAGTGCCAGGGATGAGCAGGGCCCTCGGGTGGACGTTGTGAGGTGGCTGCCTCTGTGTTCAGCCTTCCAGAGGTTTGTGCCACTGGGCATTTTGGTTGGGGCTGCCAGGAGCAGGGCTCTGGCTCTGCCAGGCACCACTGTGGGTTCTTTGCTCAGCCTGCCCTGGCGTGAGGCCCTGGCTGCTCAGGGGGTGCCTTTGGCTGTTCCCCCTGTTTGAACAGGGGGGTCTGGCCCAAGTCCAGCTCAGGTCGTGCATCTCTAAACCACCAGGGTGCTGTGTCCATTGCTCCCACCATGACTCGCTTTCTAATGCAGATTTTTAGTTCATTAGTGCAGTGGTGCATTAAAAGGGATCTCAGTAAAAAGGCTAAGCTAATGTAAAAAATGCCAAATGATTTCTCCCCCCCCCCCCCCCCCCCAAATTCTCTGATTCATTTTTGCCTTGATTTGGGCAGAGGGAAGGGCCAATGTTCTGCAGAATTCAGTCTGCTGGCTGGGGAGTCCTGGGCACTGAGGCCCTGAGGACTGTGTGTCAGACCTGCAAGACTTCAGGATCCATCCCTGGAACAGACCGAGAGGTGACTGAGAGACTGTCGTGTTTTGCTTCATTCCCGATGGAATTGGACGGGGATTTGTGGTAAGTTTACTCCTGAGTCAAACTGGAAAAGGCAAAGGAAAAAGGGGGACAAGATCTAAAGCAAAGCAACCTGTAGGGAAAACCAACATCCCCACTGAGCTAAAACTTCAGAGAGCAGAGCTAAAAGCGAGGTGATGGGCTCTTTCTGGTGCTCTGACTGGGTGGGCATTGTCTGGGGCCACTGACCAGTAAGTGCCTGCAGGCTCTGGAAACAGGAGGGTGAAATCACAGCCAAAGGTTGTTTCCCTCTCCAAATGCCTCTGCTGCAGCCTCTCCCCAGCACTGCTCAGGTGCTTATTCCACCCTCATAATTAGTCCTATGTAATTTACTATTGGTGTTGTAGTAGTGAGGATCTAAGGCTATAGGCTAATGAGGTTTATAGTGAAGTTAGAGTATCCAGTCAATAGATTTAGAAACTGGATGGGCTTTAGGGCAACAGATTCTTCTTTGGGTCTGGAACAGGAACAAGAAGCTCCAGCTAGATCCAGGCTTGAAAACAACTCAGCTTCAATTTAATGTAATTATGGCAACAACTTAGAGAGTTTGGAGGGAAAAACTAGTAAGTCCCTGTAAAATTAAGTTGTATAAACCTCGTTTATTATTTCAAATTTGCAAGCTTTAGTTAGCATTACAACCATCACCTAATTTCACAGGGTTTGAAATAGATTTGTTGTTTTGCATTGGACAGGAGGTTCAGTTGCCAGCTGTGATTGTACATGTCGTGGGGTGTGTTTGGGGATTTGTTCAACCCTCTGTTGCCATTCAGTGACATGCACTTGTATGTGAAAATGCCCAACCCGGTGATTTCTGTTCTGGGAACAGGATACTTGTGTCTCTGCCAGTTTCTGAAGTGAGCACAACCATAGACATGTATTGCAAAATAAATGATTTGAAGCTGCAGTTGGATGAATTTTGGGGCTTTGAGG